CCCTCTTCCCCTCCTTCGTACTACCAGAATTGGATAATGTTGAACCCTCAATCACCGCCGTCGGACAGCACGCAGCATCACCAATACGAGGAGGCAACTGTGGGTACGTGGGACCATACGGAAACCCAGCCTGAGGGAATCCTTAAGGATGATGGTGACGGTAATGTTACTGGTGTGGACCATCACCAACATGCCCGTCCCGCAGCGTATGGTAGGTCGGCCGATAACAGGGATGTGTATCGGGCCGCCCATTTCGTTGTTCCCCATCAGATGGTATCACATCTAGAGGGGATCTCAACATGTCCCCGGCCGCCCCTCTAGTCCCACTAGCGGCAACGAAACAATCCCACCGAACACAGTAGCTGGTGTTATCACATTGTTTTCATTATTACCGTCTTGTTTCAGGAGCTCAGTACCCCCGGTGTTGGCCTGGTCTATAAGGCGCGCTGAATCCCGTTACCGCAGGGGTGTACCATTTCATTACCATCCTCTTGGGCCCTGCCATAAACCAGGGCATCGTTCTGGTGGCCCGAAGCTCAGCTCTTGCCATCCATTGCTGCCGTCACCATCCGAGTCACCCAGAAGAATCACCAACTGCTCCGCTGATGATAAGAGCAGATCTCGAACGTGGCAACATACCTACGATGAGGATGACCGTCCACGTTACAATCACGATCGGGTCAGCTGAGGTGTACCATGGGCTGGCCTAGCATGTGTCACCTGCCAGGTATTGAGTCCCCTTCTTCCCACACCTCCTACTCCTGCAGTACTCATCCGCAATAAGAACATCAACAACAACAACAACCGATCAGCACCTCCTGCCGACAACATTCCCCCTCGAGGGATAGTCTTACCGCCGATCATGCCCAGTGTGATGGATAGAGTAAGTGGACGACTTGAGGTCTATAGGGCTTCATATACAATGACGCTCATATACAAAATGAATCCGCCCTCGTATTTTCCACCAGCGGCCCCTCAGTTATGGTAGATGCAATATAGAGAACTGACACGTTGTTGGTAGAAGACATCCTTAGTGCATCCAGGGATGGTTCCCTGCTCGGATGAAATTCGGCTGTGCGCACACTTCCGTATAGTTGCCTGCCGCTTAGTTGTATTGGCGCTATATGTTTTTCAAAGAGAGAGGTTTTGTAGGTTATGTGTAATTTCGTGGCGCAGTGACGATTGATTGGGCCTTGCAGGTAACAGTTGATATAGCATTATTTATGCATCTCGTGGATACGTATAGTAACTCTGGCGACTACTTGAAGAGGATGCGATTATGCGACATGGTAAAAACTTTTTGTCACGCGCCACGAAATTCACCCGTCAACAGATTCCTCCGTTCAGATGCAGTCGATGATTGACGGATTCGTACCAGCGGCGGCCAGTGACAACGAAGTTGATGAGGATGGGGAAATGCCGCGCCCGTTACGATGCCTTCCTTTCGGATCGTAAGTCCTATTCCCTCGATCATAATGCAGTTCAACTCTTTAGGTTTACCTACAACATGCACCTACCGTGGGCAAGCGATTTAGATTTCGTTGTAAAACCGAATTTGTCGGATAATGAGAGATACCATGTTTTAGTTGTTGCCCGCATCTCGTCGATATAGACGTTTATTGGCTCCCTCAGTGACCGTCGGTGAGCCCCAGAAGGCTCATTACGGGCAACCGTATCAGCATAAGGTGGGACCTAGGGTATGTTCTAGGTTAGCTCATTTGATACACAAAGGGTCTAGCGGTTCGCTATCGGTTTTAACGTCCCGTTGGTTCGGACATCTTTTCCCCCACAGGGTTGTGATGATGAAGCGCATGCTGGAGGTTTTGAGGATCCCGTGAAAACAGCGGCAGAGTGTGTTGAACTCCTGAAGATGGTCTCAGGCTATCTTACAGAATGCGCGGCTTCAGGTGGGTGTCTATGCTCGCCAATGCGCCGTGTAAGCCTGCTTGTGCTGAAGGTATCATCAGTACCGCTCCAGTCGTTATAACATCATCTCGAGTACCATTGATCACTCTAGCGTGCCGTGATCCAGCTCTCGATGATGAGCTATATCAGCAGTAATGGAAGGCAGGCGAGTCGTCGGTACTTGTCGACTTAGGTGTGGTACGTGTAACATGGGACTCAACGCGCACTGCTCCCTACACTCACCAGTCCAAGTTCAGATATCACTATTAGGCGCCTTCCACACAGGTACGTCCCGTTGTTGAGGCCCATCACTGGTGTTGCATGTAGGTCTTGAAACCTCCGCGTACATTGCTATGATGAACCAGCATTTCGATTGTCTCCGACCACTAGTCCTTTTTGTGAAACATGTATTATTGTGCGAAGGCCTTATATCGCCGTATAATGGCGGAATTAGCAGTTATACACTGGTAGGTTATGGCTGGATAGTTTATCACTGCGCCACGAAATTATTACTGGATTTAAATCCCGTTTACACGCATTGTTCTCGTTACAGAATTTGATGTATATAGCTTGGTCAGTATCTAGTACTGTATATTGTCAGTATCTCCCGACTACACCATTTCAAGGCCTAATCATGAAAAAACCAAGACCAATCTAATAGAGCCCAGACCAAATTAGTGAAAGCCCAGACCAAATTAGTGAAAGGTTGGACCAGATTAGTCGGATCCCAGACCAAATTAGTGAAAGCCCAGACCAATCCAATAGAAGCTCTGAGCAATCTAGCAACACTCGACGAAGAATATATTCTTCACGGAAATCAATACTGCCCACATTGAGTACCACATGAGGCCGTGCTGGAGCAGTACATCATCCAAGCGCCGACGAGATATGTTCCATGACCGTGCATCTCGAGTATAAGGTTTGCACGTGGCTGAAGCATCGTATGCATTCGGGTATTGCCATTGTCATAGTATCGACGCCCTTCCCGATTAGCATTTCGCACGATACTCTTGTTTTTGTTCTGTGGCCTCTCTCACCATCCCGTTGTTGGCTGCGTTTTCGGCTCTGTGTTCTCTCTCTCCGTCGCATGTCTCGCAGCGAAGAAACAGTCTTTTATGGAGTTTCTCCTGAAGGAATGGGCGAAAGTCGTGTACCCAAACTCGCTGGCACGTTTCTCGTGGCCGTAAATCACCTCTTGTCTCGGAAGCGGTCTCCAGGCCAGAATGCGCGGGTGCATTATCCCCGATGAATGCGAGAGGTGCGAGCTGCCACCCATCAACTTCCATAGTATCCAGCATCTCTTCAACTATGATAAGCCAGATTCGATTATGCATTCAATGCCTTCCTCTGTCATCTCCTTGCACTTCTGGTGTGACCCCCCTCGCGTATGTTAGACCCGAACGGGTTCGCCCACGGTCCCCTCCCTCTCCCCTGATGGCGTGCAGCATGCTACCTGCTTCGATGCCTGGTCTCGGATGGATTTGGGGGAACTCCCACTGAGGCTTATACCAAATTGGTCTGGGGCTCGGACCGATTTGATAGCCCAGACTCTGGGCTTTTAGCTAAACTGCTTTGGGCATCATTAAATTGGTCTAGGCTTTTACTAACTTGGTCTTGAAATGGTGTAGTGGAACTCGGCCAGCTCATATAGTAGCTGCTACTCCACGGCGTAAAGAGACGGTTCCATGCACTGGATGGTGACAGGAGAGTGGTCACGCCCGATTAGCGAATGAAGTTGGGTATGATTCATGCTTGGCCGGTGTATAGGTGCTCTTGGTTGTATCATTTTTAAACCAGTTTTACTCGGCTGATAGCTGGACTGGAGTTCCGCTCGGTCAGCTTCTATTGCACTTCTTGATGTGGTATGGAGGACCTGATGATGATCAGACATGTCGCAGTCTGGTGAACGAGAATCTCCTGCTTGTTTTACCCGATGGTGAGTTAGTGCATATGCCACGTTAGTCTTTAGTGGTTATGACCACCAGGTTCGAATCTTACCTTCTTCGATGCATCACGCCTCGTAATACGACCGTTTAGCTCAAGTGATGATACTCTCAACTTCACCCTGCGGGAATCAACGAATGATGAGCTCATTGAAGCCTTCAAGGTGGACATGCTCGTTATCTTGGATCCTCTCTCGCCAAACGGTAGCGTACGCAATCACAGCTGTGCTCAGGAGATTTCTAGGTGAACACGTGAATTTGGGTAAGTCCGCATGGCGATGGCCGAGTATTACGGCTGCGCTTCGCTCCGCTAAGAATAGTCTGATTAAGGGAGGCTGGTGGGGAGAGAAGTAGGTTGTTAACTGACGAGTGTGGTTGTTGTTGGCTGGATGTGGCTTTGGTGAGGTACGGAATATCTGTGCCGACAGTGTGGATTGGAGCTAAGCGTGCTGGTTATAGTGGTAGTGGTGGCCTTGTAAGTGCCGAGGGTAATGCGGGAGAAAGTAGTGCTTCTGCTACTGGCACGACAAGGAGCTCGGAGGGAGGTGCAGGATTATGCAGGGGTGTAGATGATGATGATGATGATGATGATGATGATGATTGTTATGAGGAAGCCACTACCATTAGGAGCTCGACGTTATCTAGGGCTGAGGTGAGGATGAGCACATGATGCTGTACACGAAAGTTCTCTCTTCAGACCTGCTACAATTGAGGGATATTTTTCTTTCTTGTCGTTTATAGTTTCTTATTAGAGTTTGACGTATTATGTATAATTTCAGCGAACAATCTTCCTACGTATTACTATTGATAACTGTTCCGCTGTTGATTGTAGTCTCGTGTATCAATTTGTGTACTATTGCTGCATTATTCACAGCTAGTATCGGTGCTGGCAGCAGACACAGCAGCAGCTTCCCATCACCATATGGTCTATCGTCTGTATAGTATTACCGTTCTTATACATGGCAGAGTAGACAGCCTCCAGATGATCGCTACGGTCGTTCAGAAGGCTGATCAATAACTCTCTTCTGAGATTTGTCGAGTATTGTTACGTTGATAGATGCTATATCTTGACCGCTCCCCCTTATCACTTTCATCATTGGTATTACTCCTGTACAGAGTTTAGTCGGTGTCAATCAACAGGGCAGTTGGCCGGCCACTCGGGACAGCTCTGAAGTCCGCTGTGCTACTCGATAAGTTTTCAAAATGCTCAGCAACTTCGTTGAAACTTCCCGTAGTTCTTCGAAAAAACAGTAGGGAAAAATAACAAGGTAAATTTCTTAAAAGAAGTGGATGAATTATTGAAAATTCGGGCGAAACATTACACTGACCAGGACAGTCGGCATGTGAAGTGTGAAACTGTGTGTGGATCCAGTGATCCCTGTATGGAGTGAGCACGACTGCCTGTCATCATTACCGACTGCCTGTCATCATTACCGTCGTGGCTGACTTACTCCCCATTTAGTTTTTAAGCTCCTCCCTGCCACTAATCTCCATGGCAAACCCAACCGATGATAGGATCAGGTGAGTTAAATCTAAGCTGTCGGGCCTGATAAAGTTAATGACATCACCATCATTAGAATGGCCATGCTGGGCTTTGGCGTTGTCGGTGGCGGAGTAGTTGAGCTACTGAAACCATACGAGCATATCATCTCACTGGTTAAAGTGAGCACGTCCTAGAGAGGACAATACTCGCTTTCCCTCGAACCCTTGGTCATAATCGCAGATATGTGTTCGCGATGTCGGCAAGAGTCGCGACGTCGCTCTACCGGACGGCTGCGAGGTTGTCACTGATGCCCAGTGCATATTCGATGACGCCTCCATAGGTGGGCTCTCTATTAAATCTATTACTGCTAGGTCGGTCTCGCAGATATCGTCATCGAGGTTATGGGAGGAACAGATACTGCTTGGACGTACACCAAGCACGCCATGGAAGCTGGCAAGTGAGTGGCGGTGCATCTGGACTCCCGGAGTGATTGAAATGAGACTGTAAGGAGTCGTGCTGCGCCCATTAGGCACATCGTGACGGCTAATAAGGCGCTGATATCGAAATACATGGACGCGATAGAGAAGCTGGCATTGGGAAACAACGTACTTCATCAAAATTATTGGAGTAGGGCCAAGTATATTGTCAGGTACAGTTCTTATATGAGGCTGCGGTGTGTGGTGGTATACCGATAGTTAACACCGCACTACGTGGGCTCAGGGCTGACACATTCAATCACATCTCTGGGTGGGCATCTTGCCTCCATCGACTACTGTGCATTGGTGTTTAGGATCATGAATGGAAGCACTAACTAC